CCCTACTCATCCAAGACCTTCATAACTTAACCCCTACTCATCCAAAAGCTTCATACCCTAACCCCTTCTCATCCAAGAACCTGAACCCCTGCTCATCCAGGACCTTTATATCTTAGCCCCTACTCATCCAGGACTTTCATACCCTAACCCTCACTCATCCAAGACCTTCATACCTGAACCCCTGCTCATCCAGGACCTCTATATCTTAGCCCCTACTCATCCAGGACCTTCATGTGGTATTCCAAGATATTTGTAGCTATCCTGGGCATCTGCTATGTTACCTTCAGGTAGTTCAGTCCCTTCAGATGTGATCACCTTTGCTCTCTTGCAGACCATTCAACAACATTTATCCAGTCTGAAGGACCCTTACTGTATATCCTGGTCAGGTGTATCAGTGAGTCGATGTCATCAATGTAGAGGTGACTGATGATTGTTCCACTTTTTAACCAGTCTTCATCGCCACTCTTTGTAATAGTTAGACTTTTTGGAGACTTGTTTGTCTAACTCAAATATCTAGGTTCACTTAAAACATTAAGAGCTCCTCTCAAATAAAGTGCACTTACAAACAAATGTCATCATTAAGAATATTTATCCACAGGAAACCAGGATGATGTAGCTCTGTCAGTGATTGCTGGGGAGATAGGAGAAGTGAGTGAAGAGACAGAAACCTGTTTTTATGACAGATCTGGGCTCAGATGGGACAGTCAGGGACTCTGGGACTTTGTGAGAACTTAAACCCAGGATGTGTGGCAGCAGAAAMAACGAAGGGCTGATTTTTAAAGCTCGTGACCAATCGAGCAGACTTTTTGTCTCACACGGGATCACTGTGACGTTTCCACCAAGGAGTAACTCGGTCGCCAGGCAACCCAGCTCCTATATAGGACCGCMGGTCGGCGAGTGTCTCCTGACAGCAGAGACCAGGGTGAGCGTGRACAGCTTCCAGCCTTCTGAAGCACGCGCACTATGGACTGAAGTGTTGGAGAGAAGAAGCAGCGTGCTCACTCCAGATCRTGCTCGTGTCTCACACCGGCTTTATCCACTTTTATTTTTTTCTTTAAGGCTAAGTTTAGGACAGAACAGCAGCTCGTGCATCATGAAGTTGGTGTTTCTGTCAGTTTTGTTGACTCTCATCACTCAAGTTTACTGTGAAGAAAACGAGTCAAATGAAGGAACGGAGTTCTGGACCAGCAGGAACCAGATCCAGGAGCCWGCGGTAAGCTTTCACTTTTCTTTTATGCTGAACCAAAACTTCAAAACAGAAAAATTTGATCATTTAAAACGTCAAATATTTAGTGTTTTAGAGGGAAATGGGCTTTTTAATAAATATAATGGTGTWTTATGGGATTACTCTTGATTTGATTTTGTTTTAGAGGATGAGAACAGACTGAAACACTAAACCCACATCAGTTCCTTTAATAAGGACAATAAATCCAGGCTTCATGTTGCACACAGGAAGTGTCTGCTCAGTCCGGTCCAGGATCAGGCTGGCAGAAAGCTCCCGAGTCTCGTCCTGTTTGACATTGTGGACTGGAGACGAGCCAAGCTGCTCCTCCCTTCAGCTCCACTGCAGGCTGGGGACCGTTCAGGCTCACAATAAATCATCGTGGGGCCATTAGTGGGCCCCTTCACGTATCAGACTAATGCACGCAGAAGGAAGCAGCTAAATTTAAGGAGTCATTTTGATTAATGCTTCAAGGTTTTGGTGCGTGGTTCRGAAAGCCAGCCATGACCGAGTTTTTGTTGACCTGAACAGGACGAGTGGCTCTCCAGTGACCCGCTCAGAACCCTCCTGCAGAGGATGACGAGGAAGCCTCGACCGCAGCACTTCATCGGCCTGATGGGGAAACGCTCCATGGGTGAGACCCCCCCCCTTTTCATCCTGTCTCTCTGCTTCTTCTTTCTGCTGACGTCTTGTTGTGATGATGCAAACACTTGTCACTTTGTCCTCCCACAGCAAACACACAAATCACCCGCAAAAGTGAGTGGACTTATTTGTTGCTCTTTGCTCCGTGTCCGTGTTGTTTCCACGCTGCCATCAAACACAATCACAGAAAGACTGAAGAAAACTTTAAATATTTATAAACCTCACTGAAAAATTCACATACTCACTAAATTAGGCCTAAAAGTCTTAAACGCAAGATTCATTTTGTTTCAGGTGATCTTAACCGCCAACTTTTTTATATGTTTTAAATCCTAAATTGCTTTTATTTTAAGTCCTGCTGCGTTTTCGCCCACCTTATGATGAATTAAACCSTATCTTTTATTGCAGCGGCTGCAGCAGAGTGAGGGAGGGGGGGTGTTTAATTAACCGCAGCACATTTCTCTGCTTCAGAAGGTTTTTATTTTTTARTTTTATTGAATTTGAAGCGCACAACACGAAATCTGAAGTTCTTTTGAAGAAATAAATTAGGAGTTGGGAGGGGGTGTTACCGCCTGGGTGCCACAAAGACAGCAGGATGAAAGCACAGACGCAACAAGGTGTGTGTGTATGTGTGTGTATGTGTGTGTGGGGTGGTTTCCCAGGTTTTATAACGAGTCAGGTCTAATTTCCTCCACTTTCCTCAGACGTGCCGGTGTTGCACGAAATTCTGTTCCCATGTGAGAATCTGGAAATTCTGTTCCCATGTGAGAATCTGAACAGATTCTCACATGGGAACAGAATTTCGTGCAACACCGGTGTCTCCTCACGATGAGGACAGACCGACGTCTGAGGGACACTTGAGACTTTAATTGGATTGTTGCTGGTGCTGGTGGACCGATGTCCTCCACAGGAGACAAACTGGGACAGACCCCGCGCTCAGCTCTTGCTTTCTGCAAATATTGATTCTTCTTTTAGAGAAGAAGAAAGTGCTCCCTGTAGGTTTACAATATTACCAATCCAATACAGCCCCGCCCACTTTTCATTCTGTGTTATGGTCCATTAGCGGGGCTGACAGCCTGGTACCCCCC